ACGCTTCATTTATGGTCAGAAAGTGAATGTTAACTCGATTGGGCCAACGAGGGAACTCCGTGCAGTCTCGTCAGTCTTTCTGTCTGCGCGTCCGCTTGTCTGTCTGCCTGTCTGTCTGTCTGTCTGTCTGTCTGTCGCATGTCTGTCTGTCCGCCGTCCGGCCCCCGCCCCTCTTAAATAGCTCCACATTCATTACTATTTATTACGGTGTAGCCGCACCTCGGCCGCCCGCCCTGGACGCCCCAGACCGTCCTAGACCATTACCGGCCCGGCCTCCGACTTATTTGGCGGTGCGATTTACAACCATAGAAGCGTCTATTCCTCGGGCAGCCTTGCCATCCATCGCCTCCCCCAGGGCCAGGGGCGGCCAGGGGCGGCCAGGGGCGGCCAGGGGCCAGAGCGTCTCGCTCGGTCGCGCCCCGTCTCGCCCTTGCGGTGTGGGAACGCTGCCAGCGCTCTCACCTCGGCCCCACCCTCTCTGTCTTTTTGTTTGCGGCTCGTCGCTAAGTGGCTGAAAGTGGCTGCAAGTGGCTGCCCTGATGGCCGGACGCAAAATAGCCTCATACTGTAAATTGCCTCAAATTCCCGCCCCCACGGCCCGGCGGCCCGGTGAGCGATATCCAGCCCAACACTGCTTTCGTCGCTCAGTCTCTCTCACTCCGCGGGGCGGCCCGCAGGGGTGCGAGAGAGACAGCGCGCCGCGGCACAGTGGGTCAGAAGACCGGTGGAGGCGGCTGAAACTCCAGACGCGTTTTGAGCTCCAGAGTCGCTGAATGGGTCTCGAATCGAACGTCTGACCCCACCAATGGATTCCTCGTTCGGAGAGCAATCCATTGGTGGGGTCACACGTTCGGTTCGAGCCCTGTCTAGCGACTCAGGAGCTCAAAACGCGTCTAGTGTTTTGGCCGCCTCCATGGGGCTTCTGGCCCACTGTGTGCGCCGCGCCAAAGCACCCCGTTTCTCAGCGCAGGCCTGCGCGGCCGGGCCGGGGAAAGAGGGTTAATCAAGGGCAAATGATGGACGAATGAGCCGCGGAGCCGCGACCCCAAAGCGGGGAGCCTGTGCTTGTAGGCGAGATGGATCGGCAGGAGGAGGAGAAGAAGAAGAAGTGAGTGTAGAAATCTTCGTGGAGGAAACGAAAAGACTTGCGTTTGATCTTAGCAAAAAAAGGGCTCATGTTTTGACGTTGTCCGAAGCTCTGTGCGTGTGTGTGTGTGTGTATGCCTGTCTACCTGCCTGTTTGTGTCTGCTCACCTGTGTAATAGGCGATGCGGTCATGTGCAACGATGTGTACCGCTCTGCACTGTCATGCGCCTGCAAGGCCGTCCATTTGCTTGCTTCGAACACACACACACACACAGGCACACAGAGGGGCGGGCCACTGCTGCCTCCATCCCCGGCGCGCGTCCCCCTTTTCTTCGCAGTCCCCGTGGGGCGTTACGTTTTGATGAATGCACGGTTTTGTATGCGATCGCGCGCCGTGTCGCGGAAGCGTCGCGAGAGCGGCGAGACGATTGGGGGGGGGGGGGGGGGGGGAGTGGTGTAGCAGTGTAGCCGCGCGCGCCGAGGGCGTGAGTGACACTTGCATTTATTTATGCAGACTGAGAGTAATGGAGAGTCCGCTGTGCTCCCTATTGCCCCCGGCGTGCATCCAGGCGCGGCGCCCCGGATATTTGAGCGGCGCGCTGCGATACGATAGTTGGCGGCAGCCTCATGAGTGCCTCGCTGCCAGCCAAGCGGGGCGGCGCACAGTGGGTCAGAAGCCCCATGGAGGCGGCCAAAACACTAGACGCGCTTTGGGCTCCAGAGTCGCTAAATGGGACTCGAACCGAACGTGTGACCCCACCAATGGATTGCTCTCCGAACGAGGAATCCATTGGTGGGGTCACACGTTCGGTTCGAGGCCTCTCTAGCGACTCTGGAGCTCAAAACGCGTCTAGAGTTTCGGCCGCCTCCACCGGTCTTCTGGCCCACTGTGTGACGCGGCGCGGCGCAGTCTGGTGCACCTAGCGCGGCCACGACGGCCCTGCCCGCTACCCGCGCCAGTCTGGGCCACTGCCGCGCCACGCCACGCCGGCCCGCTCCCCGGGGCACCATTACCATATGAGACAATCCAAAACGGGGCAGTGAGGGGGAAGGGGGAGTGGGTGCATATTTTGCTGTGGAAAGTAGAACGGCGAAAACGCTGGGTAGCGCAGCGGCTCTCAACCTTTCTCGGCTCGCGACCCCAAATTTGAAGCCAAAAATTTCCGCGACCCCCAGGAAAAATTTCGCGACCCCACGGGACCCCTCCTTTAACATGCCACGGCGTCTGATCCGAGGCGGGCATTTTGCTCCCTCAACGGGCAGTTGGTCTTTGGACCTTCCTTTAGCATGCCTTTGTTACGGAGTGCAATTATCAGTCTTAGTTTGGGAGCAGTATTGTCTCAAAGTTGGCCAAAACGCTCAGAAATGTCTGTGAAAAATCGTGTTTTGGGCTGATTTTAAGCAGCCACTGCGTCTGATCCGAGGCGGGCATTTTGCTCCCTCAACGGGCAGTTGGTCTTTGGACCTTCCTTTAGCATGCCTCTGTTACGGAGTGCGATTATCAGTCTTAGTTTGGGAGCAGTATTGTCTCAAAGTTGGCCGAAACGGTCAGCAGTGTCTTTGAAAAATCGTGTTTTGGGCCGATTTTAAGCAGCCACTGCGTCTGATCCGAGGCGGGCATTTTGCTCCCTCAACGGGCAGTTGGTCTTTGGACCTTCCTTTAGCATGCCTTTGTTACGGAGTGCAATTATCAGTCTTAGTTTGGGAGCAGTATTGTCTCAAAGTTGGCCGAAACGCTCAGAAATGTCTATGAAAAATCGTGTTTTGGGCCGATTTTAAGCAGCCACAGCGTCTGATCCAAGGCGGGCATTTTGCTCCCTCAACGGGCAATTGGTCTTTGGACCTTCCTTTAGCATGCCTTTGTTACGGAGTGCGATTATCAGTCTTAGTTTGGGAGCAGTATTGTCTCAAAGTTGACCAAAATAGTCACAACGGTTTTTCAAAGACACTTGCGACCGTTTTGATCGACTTTGAGACAATACTGCTCCCAAACTAAGACTGACAATCGCACTCCGTAACAAAGGCATGCTAAAGGAAGGTCCAAAGACCAATTGCCCGTTGAGGGAGCAAAATGCCCGCCTCGGATCAGACGCAGTGGCTGCTTAAAATCGACCCAAAACACGATTTTTCATAGACATTTCTGAGCGTTTCGGCCAACTTTGAGACAATACTGCTCCCAAACTAAGACTGATAATTGCACTCCGTAACAAAGGCATACTAAAGGAAGGTCCAAAGACCGATTGCCCGTTGAGGGAGCAAAATGCCCGCCTCGGATCAGACGCAGTGGCTGCTTAAAATGGGCCTAAAACACGACCCCAGCATCACCGCGACCCCTTAAAAAAATTTCGCGACCCCGCTTGGGGTCGCGACCCTAAGGTTGAGAACCACTGGGGTAGCGGGAACAGGAGGCCGCGCTGTCTCTGTCGCCTCGCGGAGGCCGTGGGGGTGCGAGGGAGACGACGCTTCGCTCGGCACCCGGCAGGGCAGGGATGCTTTATCGTGCCGGTACACTGCAGCCACTTGAATGCCTCAGCAGGCGGACAGTTTGAGTCCGACTCGTACTACTCGACGGCGAGACGCTACCCCCGCCGCCACCGGCTTTGTCACGGCGTGGCGGGCCAGACGCGCGGTTGTTTTAAATTATCTCCTCTCTTTCTCTCTCTCCCCCCCACCGTGATTTTCCCTCGTAGTGCCGCGCGCTGCTTTTCGCTTTTTCTACCTGGCGGTTCCTCAAACAATATTATCATTCCATATTTGCCGAATTACTTCTCTTCTTTTTTTTTCTTTTTTTGCTCCTCCCGCGGCTCTCCCCGCCCCCATCGCGCGGCCCTCCTGGAGCACCTGCTGAAGGGACTCGGCGCGCCCATCTCGAGCCCCCCCCCTCCCCCGGGGTCCGTCTGGTGTTTATTTGCAAGGGAGGGGGAGGCGGGAGCTTGCAGTGCGCTCGCTCGCGCACCAGACGCCATGTTTAAGGCAATGAGGTGCCATAAATTCTGTGTTGCTACATCCCTGAATCAGAATGCCGCCGGCGATGGCGCGCGAACCCCCCCCCCCCCCCCCCACCCCCACCCCCTGTCGGCAAGCACGTCACCGCGCCCTCGCACCTTTTTCTCTCTCTGGCGGAGCTGCAAGGCTGCAAACCGAAAATAAGGTTCCGTCTCTTGCCGCTCTCTCTCTCTCTCGCACACTCGTGTCCGCACACCTGTGCCCGTGCTGGGGAATCAGTTCAGGGCCAGCAGGTCTGTCTGCCTGTCTGTCCGTCCATCCGTCCGTCTGTTACGGCGGCAGCCGATGCCTCGGGAGAGTGATGTATGTTGGGGATGGCACTTATCAAATGGAGATCGCGTTGCTGAATGGTGTAATCTGTCTGTTACCCCCACTCTCCCCCCTCCCCCCTCCCCCTTCGCAGACTGACCGGGCCGATGCCCCATTACCGCTCCGACCGGACAGTGGCCGACTGGAGCGGACTGGAGGTGGGGGAGTGGTGGGGTAACCGGAAATAAGGCGTGTAGCTTATGGTGGAGCGCGTCGCGCCGTGGGTAGGCGCCACCCTCCCCCGCACGCCGGTTTAATGGTCGTCTGGGAAAATCTGAAGCGGGGTGGCTTTCTCCGTGAGTCTGGCAGCCCTCGTGGCAGCCAGCGCCGCCCAAATGAGGAATATCGGCGGCGGCGGCGCGTGAATCCACTTTTAAGGTGTCGAGGGGTTGATCCGGCGCCGCCGCCTCCAAAGGCGGCGATTTCATTAGGAGCTCAGCCGAGCGATCCGGCCGCTCTGTCTCCCTCGCACTCGTGGGGCGGCCCGCCGGGGTGCGAGAGAGACAGCGTTCGGCAGGCCGCGTGATTAAAGCAGGGAGGATGAGAGGATATTCCCCGAAGATGGAAAGTAAACTTTTGTTGTTGTTGTCTGTCTGCAGGCGGCGCGACGGCGAGGTGGTGCTGCTGGACCGCAAGGACCACTACGAGGGCGGCACCCCGGACCAGACGACGCTCCTCATCAAGAACTCGACGCGCCACGACCACGGCATGTACACGTGTGAGCTGGAGAACGGCGTGGGCAAGGGCAACTCGTCCAACGGCGTCTACGTCAACATACAGTGTAAGTGGGGCACCGGGGGCACGGGGAAATAACTACAGTCAAATTTGTACACCAAAGTTCATCAAACTTGAAAAATTCACTGAAATTCATCAAAATTTATCGAAATTTGATTGAAATTCGTCAAAATTGACTGAAATTCATTGGAAATGTACACCGAAATTCACAGTGATTTCCCCTTGACCGGGGGTTGATGTCACCAAAAAAAGTGTAACTGGGCATTTTTTTAAAAATTATTTGCTTTTATAAGAAAATGAAAATTGTATTATTTTTTTCCTGCAGTCCGGCCCGTGGTGAAGCTGGAGATGGATCCGCCGACGCCGGTCAGCGAGCTGTCCAAGATGAACATCACGCTGATCTGCCGCGTGGAGGCGGGCAACCCGGACGTGAGTCACTTCCTCATTCTTGATTCATTTTCCCTTTTCCCCGTCGCGTAGGTGCACTTAGTGCGCGGGGCTGTGTCGCGCCAACACGTGTCGCACTAATGGACTGTCGAGCGGAGCGTGCCCCGTCGCTGCTGCCTTCTGATGCATTGATTTCTTAATGTTGTTTCCGCGACACAGACGCTGACGGAAGTGCACTGGTACAAGGACGGCGAGCTCGTCGACCCGGACGAGGTAACGCGACCGGTTTTTCGGTATTTCCGGCGCTTCCGGTGTGCTTGCCGATGGATTGCCGCTCGCTGACTGACGTGACAGTGGGACTAACAGATTGGACGTGCTCCATCGTGCGAATGCCCTGTTTAGCTCGTTCAAAAAAAACCTAACCCTTTTTTAATTTTGTGAATTTTTTTGACTTTTTGCTTTTGCTTTTTGCTTTCAGTGACTAACTCATCCTCAGAGTGTTTTTTTTTTTTTTTTTTGGCGATTTTGCTCGTTTCGAGACGGCGCTGGTTTTCGTGGACTGCTATTGACATTCACCCTGGCTCTTGTTGTTGTTGTTGTTGTTGTTGACTAACGTGTCCAGCTCCCCGCCCCCTGACCTGACCCCGGTGTTGTTTTCGCAGACGCTGCAGGCCGTGCGCTGGCTCCTGGACGGCGAGCTGCTCAAGGAGCTGCCCGACTGCAACTCGACCGCCATGGGCGACTCGTTCTGCGACGTGGACCCCAGCAAGCTGCTGCTCGAGGCCGTGGAGCGCTCCTTCCACGGCAACTACTCGTGCGAGGGCGCCAACGAGGCCGGCTGGGGCCCGGTCTCCGACGACACGCCGCTCATCGTGTACTGTAAGTACTAAAAACTCACAAAATTTCAAAAAAAAAATTAAAAAAAGTAAAAAAAAATTAAAAAAAGTTCAACATTTTTCAAACAAAAAATTAAAATTAAAAAAATAACAAATTTAAAAAAAATTCTAAAATTTTGAAACAAAAACATCAATAAACTATTACATTTGGCGTGTTATTGACGTGTTCCCGTCTTTCAGACCCACCGGGACCGGCGGAGCTGACTCACGACGTGACCGTGGTGAAGAACAGCGCCATCACGCTGAGCTGCGCCGTGTCGGACCTGGGCCGGCCGCCGACGACCACCTTCCGGTGGCTGCGCAACTCGTCGCCCGTCAACAACGTCACCTCGGCCAACTGGACCATCAACCCGGTGACGCTGCGCACGCGCTCCAACTTCACCTGCCTGGCCGTCAACGAGGGCGGCGAGGGCGAGAGCGCCACCGCCGAGATCAACGTCCTGGGTGAGTAGGGCGTCCGCCCGGCCGCGTCCCTTCGAGTGTCACTTCGCCGACTGACCCGGTGCTCTCTCCAGCTCCGCCGTCCTTCATCGAGCGCCTCAACCCGTACGAGGGCGCGCCCTTCAACGCCACGCACATCAACATCTCGTGCCAGGTGGAGTGCCAGCCGCTGTGCGACGTCAACTGGCTCAAGAACGGGCAGCCCGTGGAGCTGTCGCGCGGCGCGGACATGGCCATGTACTCGGTGCGCAACGTGGTGGTGGACCCGGACTACAACCGCGGCGACTTCGACTCGATCCGCTCCACGCTCATCTGGAACATGGCGGCCTGGCCCAACGGCCAGCTGGACCGCGTGCACGACAACGCCAACTACACGTGCCAGAGCTCGGGCAACCCGGTGGGCAACGGCGTCAAGAGCACCACCATCTTCGGCGTCGAGTGTGAGTATCGAACTCTTTTTTGTCAAGTGACTGGCGTTCCTCTGGCTGACTTGCTGCCCCTCTCCTCGCAGACCCGCCGGAGAACATCACCGTGTCCAAGCAGGTGGTGTCGGTGGTGGAGTCCCGCGTGCCCGAGCTGGTGCTGTGCTCGGCGCGCGCCTACCCGGAGGCCAGCTACGAGTGGCGCGCCGAGAACTCGACGGACGAGACGAGCGTGGTGAAGCGCAACAAGCTCATCCTCAACAAGTCGATGCACCGCAAGGACAGCGGCAACTGGACCTGCACCGCCATCAACCGGCACGGCTCCATCTCCACCACCATCCGCATCGACGTGCAGTGTAAGTTCAGTTTGAAAAGTTTCCAATTTTTTAAAAAAATTAAAGTTTTAAGTTTTAAAAAGTTAAAAGTTTAAATTGTTTTAAAGTTACAAGATTACATTTTTCTAAACTTGGAAGTTTAGAATTTTTAACAGCTAAAAATTTTAAAAATTTTAAAAGTTTGAAATTTTTTTTTTAATTCTAGGTTTAAATTTTAAAAAATTGAAGTTGTAAATTGGTAACAATTGAAATTTTTCAATTAATTACATTTTTTTATTTTTCCGGCCCACAGACAAACCTGAATGCACCATCGCGTCGGAGGAGGTGGAGGGCCAGCTGGTGCTGACGTGCATGGTGCGCGCCAACCCGGACCAAGTGAGCTTCACGTGGCGCATCGAGAACTCGAACGAGACGGTGGAGGAGAACGTGGTGAGCCAGGGCCTGCGCAGCCGCCTGACGCTCGACACGCGCGCCGAGGACACGCGCACCTACCTGTGCTACGCCACCAACGCGGTGGGCACGTCCTTCCCCTGCGAGCGCGGCGTGCAAGGTGAGGCACACTGTCATCACTGTTTCGGGCCCGACGCGGAGAGGTGTAGGCTTTGTGGCCAGTCACGGCTTGTAAAGAAAATGGCGGGGCGAGATGTGTTCTGCTGTTGGCTTTTCGGCACCTAGTTTGTCCCCGTCTGCCCGAGCACGCCTCCCAACCACCGATCGGTTGCTTCACGGTCGGGTTGGCTGCCAGGCGGGCCAAATGCTTCGGAGCAGTGTTTAAGCTGCTTGAATTTGCCCTCGTTTGGTTGTGTGTGAGGTAGTTAAGATGGGACTGCCTTCATCACAAGCAGCCCTTGTGTTTATACTTGAAGTGTTTCCGCTTTTGGCCCTTTTGAACTTAGACACTTACATGCCCCCTCTCCTCCCTCCTCGTTCTAACACGTTGAACACTTTCCAAAATAGAATCACGTGTAAATAACCCTCGAGGAGCCGTCGCCCTCTTTCCTTCTCTCTTCTCTATTTCTGTCCTTGTTCCAAAATTCACACATCCCTCGCTTTTGTTTCCTTATCCGTTCACTCGTGTCCCTGCAGGGACCTTCCGTATTTTAATCATACAGATTGGCAATTAGAAATCCAACTTCCAGTAAAATCAAACCACGCTGTTCACTTGTACTAAACCCGACTCCATTATCCTGTGCTTTTAGCCCACTACAAGGAGAAAAGTAGTAAGTTAGCTGCAGGTAATTATATCACGATTCGTTCAGGTACTCTTTTTCTACGAACGTAGTTTTGGAGTAGTTTGGCGCTAGAGGAACTACCCTGACGGGTTGTGCATGGATGCATGATCACGCTTGGACAGCCAGTGAAAAGAATTGTGCCAGCGGTGAACGAAGAGTAGTCGACGTCATGAGTCATAATATTGACCTCAAGAGATAAAAATTCCGAGATGAACAGTTGATAGCTTTTCTTCGTAGTCACAGTTGCATGGAACCCCTATTCTCCATCCTTCAGGCCGCAGCACCAAAGTGGCAATTACCCATCAATATTTGGCCTTAATGTCTTTACTGCGGCCTTGAGTGATGACAGGGTGATGCGATTTATCACATCAGCCACAGGCCCTGCAGCACCCTGAATCTTCTCCTTTTTTCTCTTTCGCCGCCTTTTTCCTGTTTGCCCTCCTTTTTTCGACTTCTTTTTTGTGTTTAGAGAGAGGGTGGGGTAATGGGTCGCACCTCCACTGGCGACCGAACTACACCCGAAACAACGTCGTGCTGTGGCACATCAAAGAATGCTCACACGGCGTCGTTTCGGCGTGTCCGAGATAGTTTTGAGCTGAGCGAGATTTGGACAACCGGGCGCTCACGACAACTCGCTTCGTTGCAGGCAACCTGAGTTGGTGGAAGCGCCTGGAGAACGACAACCTGATGATCATCATCGCCGTGGTGGTCAGCACCATCATCATGGTGCTCATCATCTGCATCATCATCATCCTCGTGTGCAGGCGGAAGCGGGCTGCAGACAAGTGTAAGTACACTGGTAACGCCTCTCGACTGGTTGGTCGTGACTACAGGGTGGGGGGCTAGTCAGTCACTCTCGGTGAGGGACGCAACGTCCCCGCGAGTTCAGTTAGGGTTCAGTTTGCCGTCATGCTGAAATGCCACTTTATTTCAATCTATCTCTATAACATCTAAAGGTAAGTTGGTTAAGAGTTCCTGTATTGCGTTTGCTTGAACAGCCAGTGCTAACTTTCTCTCGGCTTCAGGCAGATGATATATCTAACCGACTTTCTGTTGAGACATGATGCAATATTATCAGCATGACATATTAAACGCATTTCTTTTGTAATGGATCATTTGAATGTAATGTACGGTTTATGATTCGAATGTATTTTTGCCAAACCATCCATGCGGACTTTGTAGGGATGAACTATGAGTCTTGCTTGTGCATGGAGTTGAGTTATTTTTTTCCACGGCACTTGAGAAGAACATGTAGCCCACCTCGTATTTATGTGGGTAGCCTTCTCGGTAAGCTTGCATTGCCGTCGGTTTCGTAGCCATTGAAGTATGAAGCATGAAGCCCATGGCTCAGACTGTTGATTACTAGGAAAATTTTCAAGAAGTTTGCTTTCTTGAGTGCATTTTGGCGCTCTTTCTTACGAATGAGAGAGAGTGAAGTATTTTGGAGCTTGTGCATTAATTCTTTGTGTGTTCGGTTCTTTCTAACAAAAAATATCCTGTTCTCTGTGGGACCTCTTAATTTCATCCCGAAGCAGGACGCGTATTCGTTGTTTTCTCTTCATTTTGTTTGTAACTAACAAACTCATCCATTGTGCTTCTCCAACTTTCTTTTATAGATAATAATCCTGTGGAGCTGGAGGAGAGACAAAAGTAAGTTGACACAAAGTATTAATAGGCTGTTCTTAAAAATGAAAAGAAATATGTGCGCAAACAATTGTCTATTCAGCATGGGAAACGGTTATTAATTGTTCCTTCTCAAAGTTTTCCTTTTGGCCGACTTGGTCAAATGCCTACGTCCTTGTGCTAAATTTCTCTCCCCTTATCCCGTTTCTTGTATATATTCTGACTTCATTTTATCTGCTATAATTTTGTACAAAATATAGCGTTCTGACCTGTGTCGATAGTGTTCTGACCTCTATGGCCCCAAGTGCATTCATATTGTAGTCAGATACCTCTGATCACGCTAGCAGAAAATATCCCCGGACCGATTTATCTTTACAAGGAGAATTACTTATTCCTGCCCAGTCCCTAAGTGTCTAGACATTTTTATCCGATTGTTGCTCGTGGCTTCTGCTTAGCTCTCTTCATTTCACTAACCAATTCTTGCATCTGCTATTTTTTATGCAGCTATGAGAGATTCGTGGCGAATCTCTATGGCCAACAGTTACTGTAGTAAGTATTTTTTTGAGTCCCAATTATTTTTTTTCGCGGAGGTGTTTTTCTCTTAAGCCTGTCCTGTAAAAACCTTGTTCGTTAAAAGAAACCCGGTTCGTTTTGTTCCCGAAGTAATTCCAGTGATGCCCCCACGAGAACCATGGAGCATCCAAGTTGTTTTCTCGAGTTGTGTGCCTGTGTGACCAACCTCATGCCCCCTGCTTTTCCTAAGCAAGTTCTTAAAGCTGTCCGCAATCTTACTCCTCTTTGCTCTCAGCTCTCCATCCAATGTTAGACGTTTTGGTAGTCTGCTTGGGCGGCTAAATGACCAAGGCATTTGCGATCTGTTAATTTTCGCTGCCCTATAATTCTTCTGTATCACTGCCCCCTTTAAACCCCTGCACTTGTATGAACTTTTCTTCTTGTTTTCGATCGTTTGGGTGACAGAAACATGTTCAATCTTCGTGTGTTGCTGTGTATATATCCTCCCTATTGGCATCACTGACTCTTTCTCTAAGTTGCATGAACTATGTACATTTCATGTTTCCTTGATTCGGTCTGCTGGTGCATTGGACTTTACAAAACAGTTTCTTCCATCCTTAAATCTTACAATTGATTTTTTGGGATTAATTCTACACAAATAATTATCATTAACGGAAATTTTCTTAAACTGCATTTACTATAAATTTTAAAAACATGTTTCTGTGAGTTATTTTTGTTTTCGTTTTGAACATCCCCTGGCTGTGCTCTAGTCCTCCTTGCTCCTTCCTCGTAGTTACCTTGTGTGTTTACCCCGTGCAGTCCTGAGGGAGACGCGAGTGCCCCCGCTGGGGCCCCGGACGGCAAGCCGGACGGAGCGCCCTCGCCCGGCGCCCCCTCCCCCGCCGAGAGCCCCGCCCTCGCCAGCCCCAACGCCCGCCACCAGCACAAGTGGCCGCTCAAGCCGGGCGTCATGGTGCACGTCAACGGCGCGCACAGCCTCAGCCTGTCCCGCCTGCCGGACCACCTGGCCAACAACAACAACACCAGCAGCGTCAACAACAACTGCAGCAGCACGCCCGCGCTCAACCCCGCCCCGCCCAAGAAGCAGAAGAGACGGAGGCGCGCGGGCAGCCTGACGACGCTGCAGGCCCAGCAGGCCCCACCCAGCATGCCGGACGAGACGAACCAGCACTCGCGCGCCAACCGAATCCGCCAGATGTTCTCCAACTGCGACCAGAACGGCAGGAACAGCTACAGCTCCAAGCGCGGTGACACCCTGCCCGGGGTGTTCCACAGCAAGTCGGGAGGTAAGGGTTGGTGGCACTGCGCCACCCGCACCCAGCCGGTGGAGGTGGTGGTCACGGTGGTGGTCTCCCGGCGCAGCAGCAGAAGAAGATGCCTTCGGCGAAGACGGTGAAGGTTCCTCAAGCCACGGTGTCTCTTCTCCGGCATTTGCAAATTTTTCTGTGTTTTTTTTTTTCAATCATTTTTTTACGGAAAGCTTTTTATTTTTATTTACAAACAGTTGCTGTCACACGTACGTCACCGAAACTCAGCGTCAAGAGGTGGTCTGTTCCCGTTCCGTAGAAGTAGCTCCGCCTGCCTGTAGGTGTGCCATCCCCCCCTTCGCTTGTGCATGCCGTCCTCGCTTCGTCCTTGATTGCCTGCCACGCATTCCGAACCCACCTTAAGTTTGTCTCGTCATTGTGTATGATAATGTTTCTCATGTGTTTCTTTTTTGTTGGACTTTTGTCACTGCTCTAGAGGCGTAACTGCATGGTCTGTTGTGTTCCATGTTGTCATGTTAGTGGTCACGTTCAAGAGGCTAGACGAGTCGGCGAATCCCGGTGGCTCTAGAAAGCGCAAGAAGCCGGGTGCAGGTAAGGCAATGTGGCAAGGCGCGTACAGGTGTGCCAACACCCATCTAGCGTCCAGTTTATGACAAATGCAGCCGCGAGCGTGGCGCGCGCACTGTCGGCACACTCGTTTTCGTCGCTTTGTCTTTCCCGCACTCATGGAACGTCCCGAGAGAGACAGAGCGACGAAAACGACTTTTGGAGTCAGTCTGCAGTGTCGTGGCAGTGAGCACCGCCGTTGGGTGAAGCGTTGGGTGAAGCGTCGCCTAGGCACTCCTGCGGGCTTTTCTCTCGCTTTCGGTGGGGAGAGGGCAGGTTTATGTTGGAGACGCTTCACAGGTGTGTCCAGTGTTGCCACCAGAAGGCGACAATTTCCCGGAAAGGGTTGCCAACCTCAGCCTGTCAACGAGGGAACTTCTCGAGAGCAAAGGGCAGGCTTGGCAGGCTGGGGTTGGCAACTCTGTCGACGCTGGTACAGCGTGGGAATTTCTGCCCGCGAAAGTGGCAACACTGGTCGTGCAGCGAAGCTCACCCGCCAAAAGCTTCCGGTTGTATTTGCCCGCGTAATGAATGACGGGGCTTGCCTTCGTTTGCCCGATAAAATGTACATTGAAAAGAAGCTCTTAGGCGCGTCTCGCGGCCAGGCTCGCGCCGAGCCGCGCCGAGCCGCGCCGAGCCGCGCCAAGCGTGCCGCATTGTCTGACGTTGGTCCGTCTGCCCGCAGGCCCCAATCCCGCCATCAGCAAGGACAAAGCCAAGGACAGAAACAATGCTCCCGGCGACGCCCTGCTCCCGGCCGACGGGGACGGCAAGGCCTTCTACGAGAACCTGCCCTTCCACGGCATCCAGAACGCGCCCAATAAGGTGAGTCTCCCTTGTCCGCCTCGTCGTTTGAACCGCAGCAATAAAGCAAATGGACAGGCGTGGCACTTGTCGGGGAGCGGGACCGGGTCGAGGGCGTGTCAACAGCGTCCAAATACCACTCCTTTAAAAAAAAAATTGGATAAACAAACAACGCAAATGTGATAGACATTATTTCGATTAGTTTTTCAAAGTCGTTCTGCGCGGACGCGCCCTCTGCCCGCTGGCCCGCTTACCCGAAACTCAAATTATACATTATGCGCATGTCTCTACAGAGGCTAGTACTATAGTGCTTTCTTGAAAATTTGTTGGACTCGTAATTGTTGCTCTCTATGTTATGTGTATTCTGCTGAATACTTTTTTTATTTCATTTTTTTAGTTTAGATGTAAAGTTGCACTGCTCACTGCGTACCATATTTTAGCTTCAATTAATTGTTTACTATTATATTTTAAATATTTGTGTTAGGGAAAGGGTTGCGTCTTCTCCCTTTTAGTACCTGAGATTCCGTGGCAGCCGTTAGAATTAGATTTTTTTAAAATGTGGGCCATCTTTCTCCACTGGTGTCCCAGTATTGACACATTTTCCTTCTTTTAGGCGGTCCCTAAACGAACGTTCGAAACTGCCGTTTAGCTACTTTTTATTTCGGGATGTAAGTTTCGATTGATTTCGCATCTGGGTTGGTTTTCCTTTTCGCTTGAAGTGAATGCGAGTGTGCTTTGCCAGCTCCCTTCTTAAAATTTACTACTCACACACTAGAAGCTGTTTTCCCTGTAGTATACAGCTCTGCGGGCATACATCTTGTGTCACTCGACAGACTGTTTATGAAAACAGTCTCCTAAAATTTCAAACAACTATGCAATGCTCCTGTTTTCTCTTCATTTCAATCAGCGTGTTTTGTTCTTCTACTTCAGGATCGAGGCACGCTTTTAACTGAGTAACAAACCTCTCGAGATCGGGAGGGATTTTATGTTTGGAGCAGTGGAAACTGTGGCCTTGTGGACAACCGGTGTGCATCGGTTGGACAATGCTGTTGTAAATTTGCACTATTTAATTTAGGTTCTTAGTTCTTTTCGAGTCCCTGCGAGTCGCAAGGCAATCGGAGGTAGCAAAGCCGCTTGTTTCAACTCAACCAAAAAAAAACATACACACGCACACTCACACCGAAAAGAAGTAAATTTTGAAAAGAGAAAAAGTGTCTAAAAATGTGGTTTGGCCCCTAGCGGTTCCTTGTCCGGCAGACGGCTTTCGATCACCAGTGAGAAGTGACTCGCGAAACAAGGCGCTGAAGGGCCCGGCGGTACGTCAAAGCGTTCCCAACGAGTTTTGAACCCGCTTCCCTTACATCGACATCTTGTTCTCCTGTCCGTTTCCTCCGCCAGAAAGCTCCTCCGCGGTCACGGGGCTCCCGGCTGCTTTGGGGATTCGAGTTTTAGTTTTTTACCGCGGGAGTTTTAAATCGGCACCGGTTGGTGCGGTAGGGTCTCCGTGACGGTGCGAGGCGAAGCAGGGAAAGCCGCATGGACTGAACGGCCGCCTCCAACGGCAACACTCGGCCCTTTCAAATCGCCTCTAGCACTAGCATAGGGTAGAGAGTGCATGTCAGGCCTGTCCTTTGCTTTCCAGACGTAGCTTTTATCGTAGTGGCGTGACTTTTCGTGTGTTTGTCTAACCGCATGGCCTGAAGCTGTCGGCCAGCGCGGCCCGCTTGCCTGCTTGTAGTGTACCAGTGTGTTGCCTGCAGCCCGCCCCACCGCCCCGGCCCACCACGCTGCCCCCCGCCGTGCCCCGCAGCCCCGCCCCCCGCCGCCCCCGCGTCCAGGCCCGGCAGCGAGCTGAGCCAGAACAGCCTGGGCCTGGGGCTGGGGCTCAGCCACTACGACGCGGACGGCGTGGACGGCCAGTCCTCGGGCTACGGCTCGGCGCGCTCCACGACGCGCTGCTTCAACTCGCTGCGGCGCTCCTCGGGGTCGCCCAAGAGCTCGCCCGCGTCGCCGGAGCACCAGTTCCGGTCGCTGCGGCTGCACCCGCACCCCTACCGCGCGGCCGCCTCCACCGAGGACGTCTCCACGGCGTCCACCGCGGCCTCCGCCACGCCGTCCGCCACGCCGGGGTTCCGGCCGCTCAAGCCGGCGCGCGCGCACTCGGTGTCGCTGTGCGTGCGGCCCGTGGCGCGCTCCGTGGCGCCCAAGTCCGTCGTGGCGGAGGCCTTCCGCGGACTCAGCAAGGCCGGCAGCGCGCCGAGCCTCACCAGCCCCACGCCCAGCCTCACCAGCCCCGCGCTCGTGGCCAGCGTCGCCGCCAGCACCGCCAAGCAGCCCGTCAACGTGAACCCCAACTGCGCCGTCCACGGCGACCTGGCCAGGTCCAGGGCGGCCGCCACTCCGCCCACGCCCGCGCCCAGGAAGGCCGTCGCCCCCAGCAGCGCCAAGGCCGCACCCACGCCGACGACGAGCAAGCACACGTACCAGAACGTGCCCATCCCCATCGTGCCCACCCCCGCCACCGCCAACCCTCCCCCCGACCCCGCCAGCTCCAACACCGACCCCGCCCAGCCCGAACAGGGGCCCGCCGACAGCGGCGACTCGGATGCGGTGAGCTATGCCCCGGAGCGACGAAGAGAGAACGACTCAGAAGTTTCAGCAGTTGCCGAAAATTCCCAATTCATATCATCCACCAGCTGTTATTAAATAAATCGCAAGCTGATAGATTTTTTTATCATAGTCATTTAGTAGTTTATTATTTTTATCGGAATTAGAAAAAAAAGTAGTACTTAATATCTTGCACTCGTCCTGCTGAACGTTGCCTTGGCCTTAGTTAGCTGCCACAGTGGTCCCGTTTGACGTTTGAACCCCTAGCCTCTAACCCCGTGTGTGACTGCTGCCTGTGGACTAACCCCAACTAACGCCTTCTCTCCGCCAGACCCTGCACCTGAGCCAAAGCCACCTGCAGCACCCGCTGTACCAGTTGTCGTCGGGCCCCGCGCTGGGCTCGCCGCTCGGCCTGGGCCACCACGGCGTGGGCGTGGGCCTCGGCCACCACGGCGTGGGCCACGGCGTGGGCCACGGCCTCCACGCGGCGCTGGGCGAGACGACGCTCGTGTCGCGGCCGTACGGCCACAGCGCCACGCTGCAGCGGCCGCCGTCGAGGCACAAGCAGCAGGGCTCGACCAACAACCTCCACCACCAGCAGAGGCTGTCGTCGTGCGCCTCGCTGCCCCGGCGGCAGGCCGGCCCGGCCTCGGTGCCCGCCATCGCGCGCGGCCTCGGCGGCCTCGGCGGCCCCTCGCCGTCCCTGCCGCCGTCCATTCCCCCCCTCCCCTACTCGCCGCCCAGCTACGGCGGCCTGGTGGACAGCAGTAGTGCCATTTACTCAGACATTATCAGTGCGAGTGCGCGAAGGGGCGGCCCGTCCGGGGGCGGCGGCGGCGGCGGCGTGGCGGGCATGAGTAGCTCCCGGCGGAACTACGCCAACAGCCTGCACCACGGCCACAAGGCCGACAGAGACAGAGAGAGAACGGCGCCGCCCTCGTATAGCGAGCGCGCCGACCTGGACCTAGACCTGGACCTGGAGCTGGACCACGCCGTGCTCAAGTTCCACGACGTGGGCCAGGAGATAGATGTTTGAAACGCCAGGTACGTCGGCCCGACCGTTACGAACGCAGTGCCAATGGTGGCGAAGTTAAGGGAGGCCTTCGCTAGCCCGCCGCGCAGGCCTGTTGTGCGGGCTGGGCTACCTCGACTCTGACAGGCGCTCCAAGCCCCCACTCGAGAAGTGACCTGTCCTTCCTCGTGTTGTTTGGGTGTGCCTTGCGTTTTTGCTGGTGTGAATAACACTTTCGAAATACTTAGAAAAGCATGAACCTAATTGAATTTTGCGATTTGTAACGATAACAGTAATTCTTAAGGAGTTTTTTAACACTCACAATTTAAGATCGTTAGTTTTGTTCACTGAGAGAAATATTTTATTTGTGTGGAAAAAAAGGGTTGCAACCTTTTTTTCTGCTATCATTTTGCCAGATATGCATCATAAAGATGTGTCTCGCACTAATTTGAAACTCGTGTTGCCTTTTCCAGCCCTACAGGCCCGAGTTCTCCGATTTGGACTACGCGGACGTGGACTACCGCTCGTACGGCCCCATCAACTACAAAGCGGCCTCCATCCTGGCGGCAGAGCACGCTGACGACGAGCCCCAGAACCAGTACCAGCAGTACCAGTACCCAAGCGGCCGCCTGAGCCTCGCCAGTTGGCGGCCACCCCCGCCTCCCGATGAAGACTACCTGTAGTTGGACCAGGTGCACTGACTCTTGCTCTCACTGGGCCATCAAGTTCAACCTAAACTCATCATCAGCCTGCATATCATCACTATGTAATTTAATGTGGTTGTCTCTTGATTTGACTCGTCCGTGTTGAATGACCTGTGTTCCCAAAATTGTATTTATGGTATTCTGGAACTAGTTTACACAGGTCAGTGTTATGTAGTCTCTCTGTTTTGTTTGCCAGTGAATACACGAATGAAAAATATTCTTCTAGAAATTGCACAGAACAGAAAAACATATTTGACCACCAAATATGTTTGCAAACCTCCATATGTTGTTTTGTTAGTAAATTGCAACTGTTCTGGGGATAAGGGAGAATTTGCATCTGTGTATGACCATGTTGGAAATACTAATCCAAACATGAGTGCTGGATCACACATGTTGGAAGTATTACTCCTCTTTTTGTTACTCACAATCCAAATTATGGAACTACTGTGAGGCACTGTGGTTAGTTTTGCTGTGCGTTTCTCTCATTGTATAGTTCGTACTATAGAGATATTTAAAATGGACTGTTTAGGAAAAGAGTTCAATCTTGAGATGGTGTATTTGATAGTAAGTGGTCATTACAGTGCACAAGTGCTCAAAGTCCATTTATATTTGACCATTTGTTATCAAAATATCATCTCCGGTTACTGAAGTGGAAATGTGGGTAGGGCTCCCGTTATATGAAGGACCAATTAATATGATTATGGGCTGCCATAATATTATTCCCATTTTTTCATTGAAACTCTACTCCCACATCAAAAGAGTTTTCTAGCTCCGTGTCCATAGAGCACATAGGTATTTTTGTACAAACTGTAAAGTGGAATTGATTGGTGTGAAGATAGGTTCACACCCATGTAAATAGCTGATGGTGTCCATTTGTCTTTTTTAATTAAATTTGCTGTATTGCTTTGTTTTTATTTATGGTTTTGTTCAGAGAACAAAATGTACAGAAACCTGCTCCTCAAGATTGTAAAGTGTTAGTGTCCACGTTTCCATGGTTTATGAAACCATGAATTTGTATTTTATTGTAACACATTCTTATCATATCCAGTCGCATTTGTTTGATAACCATTATTTTACATACGTTTCACTCCCTTGGTTTCATTTCTTTCAGCTACAGCCGAAATGACCTAGTCATTGTTAACAGAGACAATGAAAAGACAAAAAAAAAAAAATTGGGATCAGAACTGGAAAATAGTATGTGTACAATAAATGTATGGGAACTCTGGAATGGTTATTGTTACTTGTAAACCATTGTTGTGCATGTTTGAAAACTGTTTTGTATAGTATTGTAAAATTTGAGAAATAATTAACTTTAAATGTGGTTGTGCAATATTAAATTTGTTTTGATATCTGTCTGTTGTATGGCGAGTTGTGTCTTCTTAAATGTGGTTCTAATTTTCAAGGGAGGTGGGTTCTGTTTCAAAATCTCACTTACATCAAAGTGTTTACACCTGTCATTCCCCACCCCCTCTTCTTTTGTTATTTTCAAAGTATGCTTTTATTTTCTGGACTTTTTTTAGGAACTGGAAACTTATTGATAGATGAATTATTTCATATTGGAAGTCGCCATCTCCCTTGCAGGTAACATTTTTTTTGTTTGAACGAGTGAATTTCTTTTAAACAATGCTGTGATTAGTGATGTGTGATTTCACTGAATAGTGCAGATGGGTGGATCAAAGAGGCCAACAATAACTGAAAGTGGCAGAACATAAAAAAGGCAGTTGACAGCATTCTAGTTTGACTGCATTGCATAATACATGAGAGCACCATGTGAATCTAAATATTGAAATACTTATAAAACTGGCCTGAAACTCCATCCTTCTTACGGTGTTATCTAGCTACTGTGTTGATCTGCTTAACACTACATCAGAAATCATGACTGCTTACTTTTGGTTCTCTAGCATTTGCTGTCTGAACTGACCATTTAATGTGTACCAAAGAAATGTTCTTCATAGTGTAGATACTGTTGTGTTCTTCGTATTATCAATATGCCCATCTTTTTCTTTCTAGTGCTCAAATATTTATTAAGTTTTCACCACAACTTAAGGTACATTTTCTGTGCTAGGGGAGTCACAATAGTTTCAAACTTAAAAATATTCTCCCCTGTTCTTCCTTGATATGTCACTTCCCGCGAGCATTACTTGATGCTTAAGGAGCTTAAAAGAATTGGTAAGGCCATAATTCTCAAACATGTTTTGTGCCATGGACTAAATCTTTGCTATGCCTAGACTAATGTAGCAAAGATTTATTCGATTCACACTGTCCAGTGATTGCAGTTTCCAAATGCCATCACGTTTTGATGCCTCTTATGAATGATGGGTGAAACAATTTTAATATAGAATAAATATTTTGTGTGTATTCATGTTATTCACTTTGTTTCTTTTTGAGAAATTCATTCTTCCATTGTTGTCCTTCAAAAAATTCAAACCAGAACTGATCAAAATTAATAGTAATTCCCCCTCTTGCTTTGAGCTATTTTCTAAGTTAATAATCCTTTTTGCCGTCTCCTCTAAATTTCCCGATTTGAAACTGCAGCTTCTAAAATGTTTGCTGTGGTTACACAGAACTGAACATCATTCTAAGTTAATTATCCATTGTGAGGGCATAGATATGCTTCTGAAGTATAGCACAAATATGTTGTCTTGCATTTGCGCTACTGTTCTTTTAGCTCTTGCTGTGCTCCTTGTCAAATGTGAAGGGCCAAAATATTTGTTTGCTTTAGAAAACTGTGTGTATGTCTGTTCAATTGTGCTATATCGTTCTTAATGTACTGTTCGTACCTTACCATAATGTTAAATTTGCCTAACTGCATGTTGTGGAAAGGATGCTAGTTGTGCATCTTCACTACAGGAGTCTGGCAATGTGAATGTCTGCGTAGTTGTTAATTTAAAATGGAGTTTTATGGAATAAATCAATGTGTCAAAATTCAATGTGTGATACCAAGAATGCATTAAAATGTTGTGATAAGACTTTGGTCACATTTCTTGATACAACCCTTTCCTGCTTAAAAATCAGTTTGCTATCTGTTCATACCAAGGATTTTTGAGGGACTATGATTGGAAATATAAAAATAGAGAAATTAACTAAAAAAAATAACATTGTATTTCCAGTATAAAGGAAATGGTTAGAGGCCCCTGTAAAACCTTAAAACCGACAAACATTCATTTTTTACTTTCCGGCTAGCAACAGTCTTCCCTTCAAAACCTTGAACAGATAACACATTCATGATTTCTGCTGGATCATTTTCCTTGATAACAACTAAATAAAATAACGACTTTGATGACAGTAATTTACCCACATGAGAGAGGAGGCGATCAGTGACCTCCCTTCCTCGGAGACCCCCCGCCCAGGCTAAATGAAGGAATGAACCATCTTCTCCTGGCTCAATCAGTTCTTCTGAGGAAGTTACACAGTATGGAGGATTAAACAGCAGCAGGTCAATCGAATTGTCCATTCTGAACATTGTGTCCAAATCCATCTGCACACATGCGACCTGCAAACACAACAACAATTTACAGTGAGTACGCTCCTGAAGTTATGTATTAACAACACTGTTGTAAGAGAATTTATGTGAGTAGTTACTTACATTGGTTTTATTTTTTTCTGCAGTTTGTTGAGTGACACTACATGCGAATGGGTTAACATCAGTAGCCATCATAAAGCAAGTAGACCCCAAGGCCCTTGCTACAGCTGCTGATATCACACCAGATCCACTGCCAACTTCCAGACCTAATCTGGGTTGCACAGAGCGGATGAAATTCAGATCCTTTTCAAGAGCATCCAGAAACAAAAAAGAATCTTCTCTTGGTTCATACACTTGGTCAAAATCTGTCAGACTCAAATGAGACAGGTCAGGAGTTTCAAGCGTTTCATTAACATGAGAACTCATTGTTACAGTTATGTTTGAAAAGATACAATATTAAAAAAGGATTCTGCCAATGATTAGTTAGATGTAGAAGTTGGTTCCAATGGGGTTGAACTTGGAGTTATATTTGAAGTTGGTTCAATCAATGCTTTTCGACGGTTTTGTTCCTTGTTTATGTGCTGAGTAAGTTTTATTAAACGGTCCTGTTAAACCCCAGAAAAAAAAAACACATTCATGAGCATGAGATAATTTTTCTATTATGTACGGGTGGACATACTGATTCACACAATTAGAAACACACCTGTGATGATTGCAAGATGTTGCCCACAACAGTAATTTTTGCTTTAGCATCGTTCAACTTACGAATATATTTTTCTAGATCTAAGGGACAGGCCTGATGTTCGGAAAGCTGCTTTATTTCATCTGATAGACTATCAAGGTGCTGTTTCAGTTCCCCTTGGCTGATCCTGTGAGGACAAAGAAATGACACCAGTTATTCTCTACCCTATTCCAAATTTGATAGAAAAAAGTCAGAATGACTAAAATACCTTGTGGCTTTCACTCTGTCGTCAAGTTGCTCGACAGTGGGTCTCAACAAGCCCAGCAGTCCGTCGGCTAGAGTGTCTCGCGTAGGGTTGTCACCAAAATCTTCTGTTTTATCATCGATGGATGTGTTAGTGCTGGCATCATCTCGTTGTTCCATGTGAGATGTGAGTCTAGCGGCTGTAGGTAAACAAACCCACAGCTGGCCCGCCTAATTTGCTGCCTTAGCAGACGCAGCAGCGGCCTCCTAACCTTGCCAGCCTGCGTTCTTCGACACAGATTGACTTCCGCACCAAAAAAGTGAGTGTCAGAAAAATCGCAGCGTGGTTTACATGCCAGCTCTCAGAAAACAACTCACTCGACGGCTTATTTTTTCAAATTTAACGGGGCTTTAAGAGACTGCACGGCCTTCGCATCGCTCCGCTCCGCATCTGTCTTCTGCTTTGCCGTGCGGAGGAGAAATTTCTCATAGCAGGTGGTGCGCGGTTATTTGCACGACGACCGAGCGGGTTATTCGCACGAGTGGCTGGAAAAGGGAGGGAACGGGGCGGAGAGCGGAGGGAGGGGCCCTTCTTCTCATCCTCAAGTTGTTGTCTTTCATCGCTCCGAAATGGTAGAAGACGCAGAGTCATGCCCGGGAATTCGACTGTGAGTGAAATTCTGTTCCCAATAGCTCGGGTTTGTCTGTCCCCGCGTGTCGTTCGGGACGTTATTTACGGGCGTTTAAGGAAAGCAAGCTCGGGGCGGTGACGTCAATGGCATCATTCGAGGAAAACAGCTTCCTCGGACCGGCCAAGGACCTGCTGCAGCTTGCCAAACAAGGGCCTCGTACGATCGCTCCGTCTCTCTCGCATGGAGCGCTCCCTTGTTGGGGTGCGAGAGAGACAAAGCGACCCTGCCCGCACAGGTTGTCCCGGGGAGTCCCCTCGCGCACCAGGTGCCGCGGGGTGGGGGAAAGGGAAAATTGGAACCGAGATGTGACGTTGCGCGTCTTCGCGTTCGTTTAGTTGTTTGGTTGCTAAAGCGCGCACCGCAAGCCCCTCCGGACTGTGCACGAAACGGGCAGTTGGCGTGAGTGAGTTAAGATGAAACATCTCCAGACTGGTCTCGGACGGTCATCGACCAAGTGCGAATCTTGGGTCAACTTCGTTCACGCAGCTAGTGTATCCCGTCAGGCCATGAGGCTCTACTTTGTGAATCAGTGATGGAGAGGGGCCTTGCGCGGGCCTGCCTGGTGTAAGGCAGACCCCGAGCACCCTGTAAGTGGCTTTGAGTGTCAAAAAAAAAAGATTCGCACACACTTTATCGAAGCGAGCGCAGGAAGCGGCAGAAAGAGCATGTGTGTGTGCTTGTGGGGGTAGGGAGGGGGGTCGCCAGGTGTGGGTGTGGTAGTGCGCCAGGCCGCCAGCCAGTCAGCCAGTCCATGACCGCGCTCTGACGCGCTCCGACGCCGGTCGACGCGCAGGACGCAGGCCAGGGGGTCCCGCGGTGTGGTCGTCACTCGCATCGACGCTATCTGCTTGTTCACCGTTGGTGTTGCTGGTGCTGGCGAGCACGGCGTGGCCGAGGTGTAGTGCGCCGAATAGATTATGGTGATTATGGCCTGGACGAAGTGCTGAATCGGAGTGGCCACCGAGCAGCCGCGCGGCCCTGCCCGCCCTGCCGCAGCCCGAGCGGGGTGAGTCAGACTGCAGCTCTTGCAGATTCACTCTGTCTCTCTCGCACCCCTTCGGAACGCAAGAGTGCGAGAGAGGCAGACTGTTCAAAATGAGCCCGCCGCGGTCGGAGCGCGCGCGGACGCCTGAAGCCGATGTTCAGGCACGGCGTCCTTCCCAGAAGAGAGTAGGGTAGTATCCCAAACTCGCAAACCTTTACTGGCATCGCTCCCTGGAAGCACTTATCAGAAGGGCCTCCATCGTAAATTTCAGCGTGTAGATACGCAAATACGCTATATGACACGGCCGCTCGGCAGAGATACCGTCGCGGAGAACGGCAGAGGAGAATGTTGCGAGACTGTGGCGCGCTGTGGCGTCGTTGGTGCGAGGAGTGTGGTGGGTTCGGACACGTAAACACAGTCAAGGCTAAATTCTGTTTTCGCCGGGTAAACACATGCACACGTGTGGCGGGGGTAGGGTGGCCAGTGTACCGCCTCCGCGCTCCCAGCCTCACGGCGCCACACGCTAACTCAATTAAAATGACCACTCTAAGGCTGAAGCGAAGTGCCAACGGGTGCCGACCTGCACATCTGAAAACCTTACCGCACTTCGTGTTTTTGACGTCGAGCCGCCCAACAGTGTGCTATCGCTGCTATCTCCCCCGGCAGGTGATAGAGGCCTCCCACTCCTCCTCCCCCTCCTCCCCCTCTCTCTTTCGCCCCCTCCCCGCGCTAGCCCTGCGCTCTATTGGCGCGCTTAGGTAATGCCCTGAACGGCTTCTTGGAAGCAGGATGGCCACTGTATCAGGACCTATCACCAATGGCATGGCCAACTCATCCACTTCAGCTGGTTTTCTCTGTTTGGTTTTAGCGACGCCGCTTCCAGCTGATTCGACTTCTCCGACTTGCGGCCTCCGCTCTCCGCTGATGGGGCTGCGATGACTGCCCGCCGTCCCGGGGCGCTCCTCGTCGTGGTCCTCTGCGCGCTCCTGGTGCCCCTCACTACTTCCAGTGCCCCGGACAGCCCTTCCTGCCGATTTCGGGTACGTGGCCGGCGACGACCAAGACCCTCCCCCTCCTTGGCAGCCCCTGGTCTTGCCCGAGGGCTTGGTGAGCTTGCTCTGATCGCCTGGCCGACTTGGCCTGGCTTGTCTGACAGTTCCCCCCCCCCCCCAAGGGCCCCATGTGACTTGTTTTGAGGCATGCCGCCTGTGAGTGAGAGTGAGAAGACGTAAACAAGCGACAAAGAAGCGACGCTCTCTCTTCCTCCGGCCGCGCTGATGCAGCTAAACTTGACTCTCTTGTTGCAGACGATGAACACAACGTGGGAAGAGTGCCACCACTTCAAATTGAGCCACTGTAAGTGAAAGTTGCACTGACCGAAAGACAGGACAAGACGAAGAGACAGTTCTGCGCGTATAAACCACCCGGGCTGTGTTCCAGACTGCTGCTCGGGCGCCGTGCACTTCGAGGAGGGCGAGGTGAACGCGACGACCGTCGTGAACGTGCAGGGATCCACGCGCACCGCGCGCACGGCCAACATCACCTTCTCAGCCGCCACCGATGGTGAGAGCGAGGCCTGCCGGAGTACTTATTCCAAGTGCCAGTGTGGCCAAACAGGGTCTGACCAGTGAACTTCCCCTCCAGTGGGCAGCTCATTCCTGCTGCGGCTCGCGCGGGGCTGCAGCGCCTACACCGAGTGCTTCGACGTGGCCGTGGCCGCCTTCGGCGACGTGGAGGTGGAGCTGGCCTTCGTGCCGGCGGACGCGCCCTACAAGGTGACGCGGCTCGACAACGTCAAGTTCCAAGACTGTAAGGGCTGCCGACGCACAGTGGGCCAGAAGACCGGTGGCGGCGGTCCAAATCCCGGACGCGTTTTGAGCTCAAAAGTCGCTAAATAGGACTGGAACAGAACGTGTGACCCCACCAATGGATTGCTCTCCGAACGAGGAATCCATTGGTGGGGTCACACGTTCGGTTCGAGTCATGTTTAGCGACTCTGGAGCTCAATCCGGAAGTCCTTGACGCCGTCCTCTCCCTCGCTGTCGCAGGGCTGTCGCTCACGACCACCAACGGCAGCGCGGAGACCAGCTTCCTTCACGACAGCGGCATCCTCCTGGACATCCTGGGCAGCGAGTAAGGGCCCTTGCTGCGTGCTGCGCGGGTTTGCCCGCCACGGCGACGGCGTCGACGTCGTGCTCCGAGGCGGAGGTGGGCAAATCCACGCTGGGACAGTGTGCGCCCAGTGCCATGTTATCTCTGACACCAATTGCCCCCA